TTTGGTTGCTCTTGGAATTAACATGCGATACTCTTACATCAAAAAATGCAGTTACTCCCTGTAGCCTTTCTTTCGGCCATTTTGGTTAAGCGGTGGATCCTTCGAAGATATTATTTTGAATGCTCTTTCCTTACATTCTAAAACATCTCTGTTCATTCCCTCTGTCCATTTCGTTCGTTTTCCTTTCCTTGACATTTTCTTTCAGGGTCAATTAACAACAGAAAAATTAAAGAGCACCCCAGAGCTAGAAGACACGTCCTCACCTCCAGACGCCATGTGTATATGATAATAATAATGATAATAATGATAATAATGATAATAATAATAATAATGATAATAAGAATTGATAATAATAATTATAGTAAGAATAATAATGATAAGGATAATACTAATTACAATAATTATTATGATTACAATAATAATGATTATAGTAATAATAATAGTAATAGTAATGATATTGACAACTAAGACAACTTATCACCAAAACACAACAATGGCAATAATGATAATAAAATACATTGCGTAATGCAACGGTCCTCATTTTGTAATATTAGACACCGGATGTGAGTTGCAGCCCGATCAAAAATAACTGTGACGTCAAAGGTCTTGAGTCCTCTTGTGTGTTTATAGCGTGAAAAGCGGTTACAATCACAAGAACCATGTTGGAGCACTGCAGATCAGTTTGGACGTCGTTGACGATACTACCTTGCATTCTGTCTTTAGTGAGAATGATACAATAAATGATTGTATAAACTTGAGGATAGTCAACCAACTCGTTCGCTATGCATCTTTGATAAGCTTAAATTTCTTGTCCAAAAAACGCCAAATCTTTCGATTGATTTCCCGAAGTGTGYGGACAGCCGCAGTTAAACGAGACGAAGCTTCTGGTTTATATTTATCCATTAACTGGCCATGGCCATGGACATAAAGGAAAACCTTAAGCGATTTGAAAACTTAGAGGATTATAAACATTCAACACTACCTGCGAGGGAACACGTACCCAAGGAAGACAGTGCTTGTGCATTTGACCAAAATATCGAACCGGCCATGGACATAAAGGAATGCATTAAGCGATTTGAAAACTTAGAGGATTGTAAACATTCAACACTACATGCGAGGGAACACGTACCCAAGGAAGACAGTGCTTGTGCATTTGACCAAAATATCGAACCGGCAAAAATTCGTCGTCTTAGGAAAAAGAAAAACTCTGGACGAAAAAAGAACGTAGTCAGCGATGGATTCTGCGGAGACGATGAATACGAAGATGAAGAACAAATAAACTTATCTGAAAGAAAGTCTTCGTATGCGTCTCTCTCACAGCAATCAGGCCTTACGGGTTTCTCAAGTGGTGTCGAGTTCAGTCCTAATGCATACACAGATGACCAAGAGCTTTTTAGCTTTGGTCAAGTAGTTGATCCAGATGCTGTGATAGAAGCATTTCTGCTCAAAAGAGTTTTAAGAGAAAGACATCGAAAACCTCCACGAAGACGACGATGCGTATCGGAACAGGAACTTGATCGCTATAGTAAAGACAGTCAATATCAAGCACCTAACAGAGCACAGTCTCTAGATGCAGGACTTGCAAATTCRAAAGATGGACCTTCAGAGACCAGTTTGTTTTCCAATTTCAAAAGTCCGTCTGGAATTGCGGGAGAACTTTTGCCTACTCATTTTTACCCTCCTTCGAGGGGTTTAAACAACCGTAGAGTAAAAGCCAAGTCCGAACGTGCTCTTGTTGCAAATCCTTCTTTGTCGGAGAGTTTTGATGGAAACTACCGATCTAGAAGTCGACCGGGTTCAGAAAATACTAGGGACGCACAAAGATACGAAGAACATGAAGAACCGGAGTCCTACGCTATGCAGTGGATTGGGAGGTATCACAAGGTTTTCGACGACTCACAAAGTACTTTGTTTGAGCCCAAAATGCCGCGGGAAAGTCAGCGTTCATCGTCTGTACCCGAGATTGTGGTCCAAGAATGCTTGTCTTCGGATGGCAGACGACGAATTCATTCCATTGGTTGTGAAAAGGATTTCCAATCGGCAAGCCGCATAAATGTTCCTGGATCTGCAGCACGGCTTATCCACCCTTCGACAAGAACCAGCATGCTATCAAACCAAGACCTGAGAACTGCTGTACTTAATAAAACCACTGCTCAGAGAAAAGGCGTCGTGTGTCCTCTCACGCAGGAATATGTGGGTATCCATAACGGCCCGAGCAAGCGCAGATCTGACAACGATAGCTGTTATAACTCAGTAAGCCAGAGTTATCAAAGTCGACGTACTCACATACCAGCACCGTGCGCGTGTGAGCAGTTTCAAGAACATTTTTCCAGTGATGAAATTATTCAAACCAATCCTTCGCGCAGTGCTTCTCTCTTCTCAGGAACATCAACGACTCCTTCACGACCAGCTTCTACAAACGCGAGCGTTGATGGACATCACGACGAGGTATGTACCGATCAGTGCTCCTCTGATGATGTACAAGTTGACATCGAGCTAACTGTCAATCAAATCCAAGGAGAGGAGAACGACCAAAGAGCTTACCATGGTCAAAGACTTTCTATTAAGCTCATAAAATGTGTGGTAGTTTCTGTTATTTTCTTTATTTTGCTGTTGTGTGTGATTTTTATTTCGTTGAGAGAAGAATTTTGAGATTACTGCGCAAGTTCGGATAAACACGAACAACAGCCGAACGCTCGACACTGATSACGTGGTGGGAAACGCACTGCACGAAAATGCACCGAACACTTTAAGGCAATATATGACATTGCGAAGACTGCAGTGCGCATGTTCGGAAAAACACGAAAATGCACCGAACACTTGTGGACGCACTGCGTATGTTCAGAGAGCGCGATAATGCACCGAACACTTGTCGAAACTCATGATATCGTTAAAAACGCAGTGCATATGTTCGGAAAAACACGAAAATGCACCGAACACTTGTGGACAATATATCACGACATTGCGAAGAACGCATGTTCGGAAAAACACGAAAATGCACCGAACACTTATCGACATGAGTACGAAACCGATATTAACGACTTTAAAGGATGTTTCACTGTARATCTTTTAATTTTTTGGTATTCTTGTAAAGTGTAAAATTCATCGTTAAAGATTCCTATTAATTCCAATATATTTTTACAGATAAATAGATACAAATATCCATATGTTACAAGTAATCTATCGGTCCCAAAGTCTCAAAAGAAAAACAGGTCATCATTGTCAATAAAATATCCAGATTGTCATGAAAAACAGACTCGATTGTTGTCTCCTGTCAAAGTATAAAACATAAGGCAGGGGGGCATCCAGGAATTTTAGAAGGGGGGTGACTATTACAAAGGTTTTAACAGGAACTCGAGAAAAAGGGGTGACTGTTACTAACGATATACTGAGAAATTTAAGCAAAATGAGGGTGAATGTTACTAACGATATACTGAGAAATTTGAGCAAAAGGAGGGTGACTAGTCACCTACATTACCCCCCCCTGGATCCGCCACTGTAAGGTGAGACCAATCACTAGAGCATGGTTCTCGCTAGTGACGCAAGAACAAGCACCCAATCGCAAGCCAACTTAAGAAAAACAAAATCCGTYCTCTTGCGCTTGCTTCGCTTCTTATTATAGTAAAAATATAGAATAGCKTGGAGTTGCGTYGGCTTCCGTCGGTATWTAGACCCCTTGCATGTGGYATCAAARSAGCTCAATTTGGAAAACAAAACAAAAGAATTGAGAACCTAATGYTATGTCCCCCAAWTTGAACTGCATTCCGACGTGCTGCAAGGGGYCTATTAAGAACCAAGCTTATCAGAAAATTGAGCCCAACCCTCCCCTTGCATCGGGGAAGTCATCTATTATTAGACCAGCCGATGGCACCACGAATAGCCAACAACTGTGACGTCATACTAGGATACACGCGGAATTATCAGGACCGACGTTTATTTTCGGTTGATAAACGTTATCACGCTAGCACTATTGCACCACCATTTGCAAGCTCCGGTTCTGAAAATATACCATGAAACGTCTGATGGGGGAGGGGAGGGGTGGTCTTTATGAATCCTCTGATGACATCAGATGGAGAAGGAAAACGATAGAAAGGACTGTCATGTTTGTATACTACTCTAGGCACATCTGCCTACGAAATGGCACGACTCTCTTACGAAATGGCACGACTCTCTTACGAAATGGCACGACTCTCTTACGAAATGGCACGACTCTCTTATGAAATAGCACGACTCTTATGAAATGGCACGACTGCCTTACGAAATGGCACGATTGCCTTACGATCGAGATGGCACGACTGCCTTACGAAATGGCACGACTGCATTACGAAATGCAGTCACGACTAATTTATGATATATTGGTCAATCTCGACTGCCTTACGAGATGTATATCGTATATAAGCAGACTGTCGTGCGACATGTGGTATCAATACCTACTTACGACTAACTCACGACTAACGTACGACTAACTTACGACAGGTTGTTAAGAAAAAAACCGATCAAATGTCACTTCAAGTCGCTACCTAAAGACTAGCGTCCTTTTTGAAAATGATTGGTCGTATCCAAGACCTCAAAACAGTCGATGACAGACTTACGACAGTATTGAAAGAACAGTTCCTCCGCTTTTAACAAAATCGTATTCAAATCCATCTTCATTGATAAACTGTGGACAGGAAAAAGATCAAGTTAATTGAGTGTGTAATTAGTCTTGCGGGCGTGGTAGGTCTACAACACAAGTTGCCAAATTTGAAAAGCACAAAGATTGAAGAATTATTGTCCTTTACTGTCTTCCCCTTCTCTTTTACTCTCCTTTTACTCTTTTTCGTCTTCTTTTTTCTCTCTTTTTTCTTTCTTTCTTCTCTTTTTTTACCCTTATGTTGTCTTTTCCTTTGTGTTATTCCTTGTTTTCTCACTTTTCTTGTCTTATTTTTCTCATCCTATTTCGTCTCATCTCATTTCCTCTCACAAAGACCTGATAACAATAGTTTTCCTAACCATTCTCCTCCATTAACGAAATAGCACTAAACACATCTATTTCTTTTGCTTTCAATAGGACGTTTGCATGATGGCGTCATTTTGACTCCAATTACCAAGATGCTTCGCGAATTTTCTTTCTCATTTTTGTATTCCCTCATAAACAAAAGAAAGTGTGCAAGGGAGTCTGGTAGTAGAGGTCAATGACGCCATCGTGCAAACGTCCTATTGTTTCATTGGTGCTATTTTGTACTAAATAGTTAGTACTATTTCACGGATGCACTTATTTCAATAAAGCTAGTCACCTGAAAAGCTACAAAGCTGAGACCAACAAGGATTATGGGTAGATACATTTTACATGTTTCAATCGCTTGATAACTGTTGATGGACCTGAGATCTTCTACCAGTTACAAGTTCACCTCCTCTGAGCATCCTCAACTGCTGCAGTTCAGGTTGTGTCAAAAGCTTTACTTGTTGGATATAAAACATTTCCCATGTTTCTCAGCGATCACAGCTTTCTAGGATTTTGGTGACTAACTTTATTGAAATAAGGATATATGTACCCAAAAACACACCTATTAATAGTGTTGTAGACAAACGACACCTCGGTACAATTTAGAAACAGCCCACGATACTGCCGAAGGATAGCCAAGCAGATGAATAAGTCAAAAGTATATTCCTTATCCAGTCCTACTAGCTCGGTTTGGAACTCTCCACCTACGAAACAAAGCGAGAATAAAGTTTGTTTACGTTCATTGATACTCCAGTTTCGAGTTCTCTGTTGCTCAGCCTTAGGTCCCGTCCACACGTATCCGGAAATTTTTGTATCCGCAAATTTTTTTTTGCGGATACGGGTTGCGTCCACACGTGTCCGGAAATTTTTGTATCCGTATCCGGAAATTTTCGAATACGCTCCGAATACGGATACGTGTGGCCGTCGTATCCGCAAATTTTCGAATACGCTGACGTAAACACGATTTTGCGCATGCTTAATAAGGAAAACTATCCGTCAAAGGGACTAGGCACTAGCGTGCATYAGGGTGGATCAAGAAATTTCCGGATACGTGTGGACAGTGAAAACGATTCGAAAACGATTCGAATACGCTGTGTGTGGACGCGAACATTTTCGTATCCGCAAAAATAAAACTGCGGATACAAAAATTTCTGGATACGTGTGGACGGGGCCTTACTCTCGTTTGTGGGTCATAATATTCAGCTATTCAACCAAAACCCGTGGCATTTTAATCAACTCGTATTGTTCCGTAGTGCGTACATTCCTTACTATACAATGGACCTTAATAAAAGAAAAGAACACATTTGTACACAATCCAGGCTAAGGCTTAGCAAAGGCGAACTCGAAATGGGAGTATTCGTTCATTTGCTCTAACCTTGTGAGTAGAGTTGTTTGTTGGTTCTCTCCTGCGCTTCAAGGATTTTTTTCCGGTTTTCTACCCCCCAAAAAGATAACTTCTTTATGATTCCAATCATGGAATGATAGCTTTCTTGCCTTAACTGGCTAATATGTTCTTCCCGTCGAAAAATAAAGGCATAAATTATTTTATAAATTTTATGGTACCCGCCTTAATAAACATATGGAACGTTGTAGTTCAGGTGGGGGAAAACCCAAAGAAATCCGGAAAGAAACCTTCAAAGAAATGGAGAGTCTTAACGAACTCTTCTCACATGTTATACCGGGTCTATCCAGGGATCAAATCCGAGGTGTACTTGCACCATTATTGATTGGATAGTTGAATAGAGTCGCTCTGCTTTCTGAATTCATAGTACTTATCTTAGCATAATTTCATTGTATATTTAACAATTATTCGCCATAGGCGAAGTGAATATCGGGGAATGTTTACCGAGACGCGGGTAATTGTTTTAGCATATACCAACTTGTGTACAGAGTAACTTATTTTTATATACAATAATTCAATAAAAACAAACAAACAGAAACTTTTAGTTTGCGTGACAAATTCACGCAAAACTTTTAGCAAAACTTTTAGCAAAACTTTTAGGCCATACTTCGTTGCCTTTTTAGTATTGATAGGAATGGCATTTACTTTCATTTTTTCAATTTCCTCATCGGAAATTGTAGCAAAACGATTGCCGGCAGATGCCATTTTGTTGCCGACTCAATATTCCGAGATTCAGAGGTGAATATCGTACAATATTCACCTCAAACTAACCAATGAGCGCGCGCGTTCTTAGGAAGTACACAAGTTGGTATATGCTAATTATTATTATTTTTTTATTGTCTTATTTTAGGGCCTCTATTGATAAACGTTTTTTGTACAGTTTTGTAAATACCGAGAGAGTTACCCTGTTTAAACAAAGGAATCTATCTATCTTCCCAAAACAAGTAAGTGAAGAGCTTACCATCTTTTTCACGTTCCTTGTGTCGTTGTTTTTCTCGCTCTCTTTCAGCCTCCATTGAATGGAGCTCTAGATGTTGACTACTCATGATTTCGAACAGTTTGAGTGAGTCTTCGTAAGCGAACTCTCTTTTGAAGCCGAGAATCAGCCATCTGAAAAATATATGAAATGATGATGATACATGTGTGTGATACGTGTGTCACGCCTTACGTGTGCCATACCTACCTGTGAACAAATAGCAGGTCACTCATGTTGTGTGAGAAGAAATGTTGTTCTAACTGGCCATCCATGAACTTTAGTAACTTTTGGACTAACTCTGAAATGAATCATAAAAACATAGGCGTCTGAGTCAATAAACGAAAGAATGGAAGAGGGAAAGAATGAGAAGAAAAACTGGAAAAAGCACAATTTAACTTATTGTTACCAATTTTCTTCATCATTCCTGATTCTAGGAAATCATCCTTCACAGCATCCATGTAGTTTACAAAACAGAAATACGCTTCAGCTTCTGACTTCAGCACTACCAGGAATCTACTGAGAATATCATTCATTCCTTGGGCATATCCAACATCTATTGATAAAACAACATCACATTCAAAATTATTTCTATTATTCAATCAAATTTGTAATCAGGGTTCGTGCTACATTTTCGTTACAAAATTAAAGTACTTTTTAAGCACTTTTCATGCACAAAAATTCGATTTTCAAGGACAAAGTTTTTTGTATTAGAACGTGGTTTAAACATTGATTCAATGTTACAGTGCAGGACAGTGCCGCTAATTCCGCCGGGGCCACGTCCACCAATAAAAAACGATCATGACACGCAACCAACCAGTAAACAAGCAACCAGAAACTCTTCTATCAATTTTAATCGTTATTTATTTTAAAAGGAAAGTTAGAAATAACAAATTCAAGGAATATTCCAGGAGTTTTGACGTTTTCCCCTTTTTTCAAGGGCTTTTCAAGCGCCCTTAAAAACGTGTTTTCAATTCCAGGGCTTTTCAAGGATTTCAAGGAGTAGCACGAACCCTGTGTAATGATGATGTATGATTGCGTGGTGCCAGAAAATATCCATACCCCACCATGGAGGAAATTGGAAATTCCCCAGGTGGGTAGGGGGTCAAAGAAAAAAAATTACAAGATTTATATGAAAGAAAATTGGAAATTCCAGGGGGGGACCTTTTTTAAAATTTCCTTCATGATGGAGTTTGGAAATTTTCTGGAACCACACGTTTATAGAGTACCTAATCTCTGGTGGATAGCACCTGCTGGGCAGTTTTTAGTTTTTGTAGGTCAATTTAACAAATAGACATCAATTTTTTGTGTCTGTCCTCTCATTGACAATAAATTGCGTCATCACATTGTCAAAGTAGTGTGGATTCATGACGCATAGCCGGTAATGTGATGATGAAATTTGTCATCAATAAGAGGACAGACTCATAAAAAACTCATGTCTTTTTTGATTTTTTACGATAACAAAAAACACCAAGAAATTTCTAATTTTTAGTGATCAAAACAAACAACGGCACGCTCGCTGACTTCAGCTTCATCTGTTTGTCCTCTTATTGATGATAAAAAATAACCAATCAGCACGCAAGAAATTGTAAGTTATTGTGAAATTAGATTATTTCAAAGTGTGAAGTGTCTGATCACCGATGAAAATAAAATGCATCATGGACATACTATGATTGATTTATTCATTTAAAGATTTACCCAAAGGCAGGTGACGAATACATTACAATATTTGGTGCCCTACTAGGCATTAATAGGTATTAAACACCTGTGAATACCAACCTTTATGATATGCTGCATAAGTTATAAGGATATCTCGTAACACAAGTAAGTTTTGATTGCCATTTCCACTGAAATTCAACAGGAAAGGAAAATAACTATTGTGTGGATACACCAACTAGTACCACTTTTATAAACTAGTATCATTAACCAATCATATTGCGACATTTAGTACAATTGTTTGAACCAGCCAATCAGATAGCACATCCATATAAAAAGAGTGTGAGAACTTGATAATCTGATTGGCTAACACTGTTATCAGTTCAATCACTGTCTAGTTTACTGGTATCTGATTGGTCAGTTATATTCAAGTGTTCCAAATTAGTATGTACGCGTGGTAAGCATACTTAATGCTTCAAGTTCCATTTTATCATGGAAAGTCGTGTGACTAAAGTGACAGGCTTGCTAACCAGCTTCTTTCCAAGTTAGTTTGAGATGTATAAAGCAATAGACCCCTTTCGAATTCCAAATTACCGCTGTGTTTCTTGATTACAGACTCATTTGCACAGGGTTAGCCTCGAGTTTGTGCTGAATTTTCATGTGTTCCAGTCAAGGTCCGTCGAGTTTCAAAATGTTTGTATTGTTGAAGTTGTGCATTCTTTACTTTACTGTTGGTATTTGTGAATATTTAAACACTGATACGAGGCTAACCCTGTGCAAATGAGTCTGTAATCAAGGAACACAGCGGTAATTTGGAATTCGAAACTGGTCTATTGGATTAAAATAAACAATTTTGTAAAAAGAGCTAAGAACCAAGACACATTCCAAGATTTTTGGGTTTTGATAAGTTCTACAGGATTACAGGATCAACTTGATTTTATATGTACTAGGTGAGTTTGGRTAGATGAGTATTTCTGTAAGTGAGTTCACTAGACATCCTTGCAGCTGAGAATCAAACCTGGAACATAGAATGGCAAGCATTGTACCTCATGCCGTTCTTCACACGATCAGCATAGAACTAGTTGTTACTGTATAATGTACCTGTAATATGGGTGCCCTCTGTCTGTGCGGGGAACATCTTTGTCTATAGTTTTGATTGAGTGACTAAGACTGTCAAGGTCTATATGCTGTCTACTAGCATCAACCTGAAAGAGATCAAGGCAACGGCTGCATAAGAAAAATCAATTATAGATGCAGTGATCATTAGTTGATTGGAAGGGAGGGGGGTGCAGGAATTTATTTTGAAGAAAATTTTTTTGTAACTACCCCTAGACACAATTTTTTGCATTTGGTCAACATTACTTTTCTGAAAGCAGAGGTTATGGATATTTTTTCCGCAGGTGAACTGCTTGCTCAATATTTTTGGGATGATTGAACCAACCCCCTTGAGCAGGATTGAGGCAATAATTTTCAGACAGTCTGCTGGTGTAACCCCCTTCTGTTATGACAGCCAATGGTATTGAAAGTAAAATATCCCAGATGCCTTGTTTACCAACTGTACTAATATAAGGCAAAATAATTAGCCATTTTTGAAACAACTGTCAGCCATCATAGTATTGTTTCTTTAGGAACATGGAGTAACATAGTAATGGTGGAATGTCGACCACGGCTTTAATCGGCCGAGAATCAGTAGACAGTGCATCAAAGGGTGCTGTTCAAGCATATAACTGATATTTCATCATGCGTAAAGTATTTATTGCCTCAACAATTACCTTTGCCGTTATATCCAAGAACTCACGTTGGTGTTCGTCCAAGTCATTAAGATAAGGCGCAGAACTACTACAGTCAGTATTGCGGTTATTGTCATCTGTATCAAGGTTCTGCTGGCATTCCCTCACATATGCTGGCAAAGTATTATTACTGGCATCGTTATGTTGTGTCTTGATCATCTCTTTCCAACGTTGTTTGTAAGCTTTGTATTTAGAGTAGTTTTCAGCTAACAGAACTTTTCTTTCTCTGAAAAAAAAAGGAAAATTATGCAGGACTATTGAGTTGTCTGCAGTGACTTGGGTGGATGGATTGATGGGTTGGAGGTCTTAATGCTTCATATATGGATTAGTTTTGGTGAAGTTGCTACCTTAAGAGTATAGTTATGATATATATATAGGCTCTTTACCTTGTAGTTGATAGAAATGGGTAAAAACCAAAAAGAAAGCGCCAGACTTCGGCACGGATGTTACTGCTTATACTTCCTGGAAAAGAGAGTCATTCTCAACAATATGATGCATGAATGTTATAAAGCATTAATCTGGCCCTTCATTTATTGTTATCATCATCATCTTATCTTTACAGCATGCATATCATCCAGCTGATATCAAATTTGAGTATCATCATCGTTCATCTCATTTGCAGTGATCATTGTCAATATTTTTTGAAGGGAGGGCTCAAATTTAAAAATATACTTATTTTTTTGGGCCTCCAAAACGCAAACCAAAAAAGGAAAACAATATTAAGAACCTGCATTACATTTTAGAGTTTAATTTTGCACAACTTAGGGGGAAAAAAACACAAAACACAATTTTGTTGCCAAGAAGTGTGGGAGGGTGGGGCATGGCCCCCTTTGGTCCCCCTGCCTACGCATCTTGCCATCTCATCATTAATGTTATCATCATGACCACCTTTATTAATCTTCTTCAATTTTCATTATTAATTCTCATAACTTTATCATAAATTTCTTCATTTTACCTTTAAAAATGCTTTTCCTCAGAGCTGTTTCATTGATGATCCGTCCATCCTGATCCATCATCTTGTCCCATTCATCCCCTTGCAATGGATGCGTTCTCTCGCTAACTTGAACAGGACTCTCAATCTCCTTCATCTCCACATGACAAAACCCTTCTGCGCAATCTTGATTGACAACCTCATACTCCAACGAAAGGTGATGAGACTGCGACATCACAAGCATATGGAGGGTTCTGCTCGCTAATTCGCAACTAACATGATGAATTTTGACGCAGACAATCTTGATCCAGCACTTGTTTTATCTGCAGGAAACAAGCTGTAATCAACTGCTTATTCTAGATAATTTTTTTGACAACTTCAATTACCACCAAAAATCAAACAAAATTCCAGTTCTGAAATTAAAAAAGTTTAAAATCAACACTTAATCAAATTTTTATTGTAGTTTAATGCTTAGATGTTTTGTCTTCCTGGTTTCCTGAGCTCTTGAAGCTTACTCTTAAAAATGCAACGAAACCATCAATTTTCAATCCTTTTAGACCAATAAAGCACAAACCAAAGTTATCGAAATCATAGTAGTCGATTCATTAGTTAATTATTTCGAAGCAGTTAGCACATGACTCTTTCGAGGTTTAGCTTTAAGAAGAAATAAAGCTTACTTCACTTTTATTTTTGAGCACGTYATGTCAACATGCATGCTGCATGCTTACAACACTTTCTATATATAAGTAATACAAATATACGGATAATGAGACAAAAGGAGCGGCTTTTTTATAAGAATAATGCTTTGATTTGCTATTTAATCCTACAAACTAAATCTTTTAATACAGCTTCGTCAAGAGTTAATTAATTATTCAAACGGCTTGAGTGTCTAAAAACCTATAACATTTGATACGCATTCTGATACACAAATGATTTCTCAATGAACAAAAACGTGTACTCACCAGAATCGTTGGAAATTCCAGATCTGCTCAACCGATTGCTTAAATATTTGGTAAACAGGACTGCCGAAGCCAAAGGAGTGTAAACCAAAAGGAGGTGTTGAATTTGATAACAGAATTGTGGCGAAAATCGTTTAACAATCTTTGTTGCAAAATGATGGACGTGTCCTGTGTTTGTAGCGTGACGTTCTAAACGTCTAGCGTGACACAAAGAAGATGAGAAGAGCCTGGGCAAATCAGGGGGCGTTAGCTCACTTGAAAATGCGCGCAAAAAAAAAAAAAAAAAAAAAAAAAAAAAAAAAAAAAAAAAACACAAAAGCGCGCGGATTTTTTAAATAACAGATAGAAGAGAAGGATGTCGAAATCCTAAGAAAACTCTATGTAAAATTTTAATTAGAGTGCAAACAATWTAACCGTGAAACTTTTTAGCAATACTAAATAGCACAATTTTATGCAAATTCCATTGTTTTCTATTGTTTAATTAGCACTATTTTGTACTATTTAGTAACTAGTGTTTCACGGATTAATTGCTTGCACTCTACTATTCCCAAAGCTTATCAGATAAATTTAGCTTGGCTGGTTTAGATTTAGTTCAAGTTTCAAAGTTTTTTTTGTTTTATTTATTTGTATTGCTGGTCTTCCTGGGTGCTTTTCTGCCCCCCTTCAGCTCCCCCCTGAACTAATTTAACGCTCGACTTCCGGTTGCTTCGACAAGAAAACATGGACTCCAAGTAGTAACCTTTTTGCTGGTGATATTTTCTACAAATATCTAAAGATCGAAGTTCGCTTTGACTGAACCACTTCGTTTATTTTAAAGCTTGGTTATCTAGGATTGAAAAAAGCTGATTTAAAAGAACTTAGATATGAATTTAATCGCCAAAAACGTGGTGTCTGGTAAATTGAGTTCTTTGTCCAAGAACATTGGACTTGATGATGATAATGATGCTAATGAAGAACAGGGTACAATGACGGCCAAAGAACGAAGACAACAGCAAGAAAAAGAAGCAACAGAGAAAGCTAAACGCGAAGAAAAATACGCCAAAAGACACGCTCAGAGAGAGAAGAAACGAGAGGACATAAGAGCGAAGTATGGGCTGCAAAAAGATGAAAAAGGACAATCAATGGCCAAAAACGATTCCAAAACTGCTCCTAAAGAAGAGCAAAAGAAAGAAGATGAGGAAAAACAATGCGTTGTCATGTGAAGCTTTCCTCGTCTTTATATAGCGAAAGCTCTATTTCTATGAAGCAATGGACCCTCATTTAATAACTTAAAAGTCGTCGTTTTTATCTATGAGATATATAGAGAAGTTTGCATATATAATTGTTTTGGTTATATTTTGACTGCAAGCTTTATAGTACAATACACGATAAATTTGGGGAAAACTTAATTAAGAACATTCAAAGGTATAACCATTTTCCTCATAGTTTTATATCTTACATTTTGTTTCTTTTTTACTTTGTTTTTCTATTTTTATTTCATTTTCACAAGGTGTTCCTCTTGTCACTAGCCCTATGTACTTACCTGGCAACCTTAAGTTTCCTTAAATTTATATATAACTTTGTTTTCAAATCTGCATTTACAGAAGAGTATAAAAGATAATGTATTTTATTAAAACATTATAATTTGAGGGTTGTGACAAATGTTTTTTATCAGGGAGACCTCTTTAGCTTGGATACTATAAATGCTTTCCAATTTCAGACCATGTGCCTTTCTCTTCTTGATGAGAAGAAATTCTTTGTTTGGGGAGTTGTATCCTTGCATACTCATATGCTTTTAGTTTCACATAACCTTCCTCCTCCCTCTCCCTCCTCATCAGCGCAATGCAGTCCAAAACTTTTATGAACAGTAGTGGTCATGCAGTCTATAATAGACTGTGTAGCAGCACTCTATACTAGGGGATTGGGATAGAGAAGAAGGCTATCGCCATAGCTATGAGATGCAGAAAGGAATAAGAATTGTTAAAGAAAACCATGTATCAATGATTCACCCAAGGGCGTTCGAGTCATTCTTAAAGTATAAACCTCTGACAAATCAGTGTCATCCATCTGATTTCCAGCCACAATGAACAAAGTTTGTAAAACTAAGGAAGCTATAGGTCACAAGTCAGTAAAAAATTGAAAATTGATTTTAACTTTTTTGGACAGTCAAACCTTTTATTTTGACAAAATATTTTCCTTGTTGACTTAATGGGAAGGGTGAGGTATCTCTTACTGAGTGAAAAGGGTAAGGCTATGATCATTGAACAAATTTAATTTGAATCCCCACCCGGTTGGGGCATTATTGCTCGTTTAGGGTAGAGATGTGCCGCTGAGCCCACTGAACCCTGACCCTGTTCCAGAAAAAAATCGCTGAAATTCATACCCTGTTCCAGAGCAAGATCACTGAAAATCATAACCTGTTCCGGTATTGTGAAAATGGATACCCTGTTCCAGAGAGGAGAGAGCGTGATTTCATATACCCTGTTTCAGAGCGAGCACGATTTTATATACCCTGTTCCAGAGTAGGATTGCTGAAAAACATACCCTGTTTGGCGGCACATACCCATATAGCGAATATAGGGGAGTACTCCCCAGGTATCCCCAGCCCTTTGGCCCTTCCTTTAATATAACTTACATTATGGTGCTTTACATCAACTCATAGCGAAGTTGGACCATATAATGGTACTCACATAGTTCTAAAGCTAGAATTCAAACCCAAAGAAATATAATTTATTAGCTGTGCATATACCATATAATAATACATAATATATTTATTCATAGAAATGGTCAATGGGTCTCTAGGGGGGAGGGGGGGAGGGATATATACCAATGGTACAAACCCACTAAAGGAAAAACATTATTAATTTTGAGTAAATTGAAAAGTGCATTGGACTATTAGAAAACTGTAAAAAATTCATACCTCTTAGATAAATAATTGATTTGCTGGCGAAACTAGCTGAAGTAAGAATTTATAATCTACCGGGGTGGGGGTGAGTAGAGAATAGTTCCAGACATCCGTATGCGGTGTTTCCCCAGTCACGCATGCGTAGTCCTTCCGCCACGCCTGCCGATCAAACGTTCGAAGATCCTARGGTTTGCAGGAAACAGTAGTTGACTTCTAAATGCATTGGAATGGCTAAAACCTATGATTTTCTCTTCAAACTGCTCTTGATTGGCGACTCGGGAGTGGGGAAGACATGTGTACTATTCCGATTCTCCGAAGACGCCTTCAATTCGACGTTTATCTCGACTATAGGTGAAAAAATCTTGCATCTTCTTCATGAAACCCTAATGAAACCTTGGGATTTTCATTCCTTGGTGATTTTTTTTCATCCCCTCTTCATCTATCATCGTTTGAAAGTTTATAGTTTACTCTCACTTTGTTTGTGTTTCAGGTATTGATTTTAAAATCCGTACTATCGAGTTGGACGGGAAAAAAATTAAACTTCAGATATGGTACGGTTGGTCTTTTGATTATACAGCTTGTAGTACGACTTCATCAGCGAAATTGTGCTCAAAATTTTAGGGCTTTTTAAGGCTCAAATGATCCCTTTTACTTTGTACTTATGTCATATCTCTGTATTATATTCTGAAAGTCTCCTAATGACCAGCCATTACATGAACATTTAGATTTAAAAAGAATGTTTAATAAGCATTTCCTCTATAGATTTTAACTACTGTTTTTATATTGCTTATCAAGTTGATTTTGTTTATGTCTGCTTGTCTCTCTTCTCACTAACTGTTAATTTGCTCGACACGCGTTTTTTTTGAGCCGTTTTTCTTTAACTTCCTCTGTTGAATTATTTTCCTCTTTTTGTATTTCTGGAATCTTGGCACAAAACTTCTCAGAAATCTTTTTAAAAAAAATTACCAATTAAACCTAAACAAAACGTGACAACTAATCTGCATGTATCTTTTCTCAATTATTCTTTACTAAAAATCTCTATTTACACTTCGTGTTACAAGCAAATCATAAAACAAAGGTTTTATGGAAATTTTACCAAAGATACTTTAAGGATTTTGAAGGATTTAATTGTGGTACAGTTTGGTTGAACTTTGGTCGTGTTATCAAAACATTAGCGTTGAAGCTAAAGTTAGAATTCTGAGAACCTTAGTTTGGCTACGTTCAGAAATCAAAAGTATTTTAGAACTGTTTGACTTATGATTTGTCATATGACTTGCTGTTGTTTATTGAGAGACAGTGGTTCAATTCTCTTATGTTCAGTTTTACAGCTTTAAACCTTTCRTTATGGGATTCAAATTTAGTTTATTTTTTAAACTTGGGTTTCTTTATGCCTAGATGAGAGGTCAGTAGAATCCTCTATTCTACTTATTTTATCTTGATACCAATACTACCAGATTCATCTTTCATAGCTCATTCTGTTGGCCTTTTAATGCCATTATTTTGCCTTCTCAATGGAATTTTAAAAAATTGAATAAGAAAAAGATTTCGAAGAGAATTCTGGTAGTAATCGTATTCGAGATGTCATAATATGTTCATGATAATAGCACTCGGCTTTATTTAGAAAGGGTGATACTTGACAGTTGCCTTTAAGCACTAATTATCTTGTGCTCCTCTAAGTTTAACCTGTAACCTTTAACCAAATAAGAGAGAGCCACCACAATTAATATATTGATTTTCATTGACAGGGACACAGCTGGACAGGAGCGATTCCGAACCATTACTACTGCATACTACAGGGGTGCTATGGGAATAATGCTGGTATACGACATAACTAATGATAAATCTTTTGAAAATATTAAAAATTGGATTAGAAATATTGAAGAGGTGAGTACAGTACGACCATAATATTACCATCTTGGGTTTATTAAGGGTCAGAGATTGGAGAATGCTCTGGTTCTGAGCAAAATAGTCATTTTTTTGAATAATAATGGGGTTCTTATATAGCGCATTATCACATTGTCTCAATGCGCTTTACATTGCAGTGGAGGACGCTGTGTTCCTTGATTACAGACTCATTTACTCAGGGTTACCTTTGAATCAGTGTCTAAATATTCACAAATAGCAACGGTAGAGTGAAGAATGCACAACTTCAACAATACAAGCACTTTGAAATTCCATGGACTTTCACTGGCATGGAATGCATAATCATTTTGCACAAAATTGAGGCTAACCCTGAGAAACAGAGAACTCAAAACTGAGTATTCTTTAGCTTAAATAACCAAGATCTCTTATTATTTCAAAACTTAATGAAAACCCTGCCAGTACTCTCTGACTAGTTTGTTATCTTCTCCTATTATTTCAATACTTAATGAAAACCCTGCCAGTACTCTCTGACTAGCGTTACTGTATCTTCTCCTATTATTTCAAAACTTAATGAAAACCCTGCCAGTACTCTCTGACTAGTTCGTTATCTTCTCCTATTATTTCAATACTTAATGAAAACCCCGCCAGTACTCTTTGACTAGTTTGTTATCTTCTCCTATTATTCCAAAGCTTAATGAAAGCCCTGGCTAGTTCATGATCTAGTTCATAATGATATTGATGAGGAAAATGTTAAATATTATGTTTAACACCACAAAACATTTTTTCAATATACTCTGTCACTTTTGTGATTATAAGTTCTTTTTTCCTTCTAATTTCTATAGCATGCTTCACAAGATGTGGAAAAAATGGTTTTGGGTAACAAATGTGATATGGACGACAGACGGCAGGTATCAAAAGAACGAGGAGAACAAGTAAGTTGTCTACGTTGAATGGGTGGCATACACTGCTCATGGGTCGTCTTTCAAGGGGCACTTGGATAAAAATGGATAAAAATTGGAAATGACTTTAAGTTTAGTGAAACGTATCTGTATGGCCCCAATAGTAGCCAAGCAACATATTTTCTCCACAGTAAAATGTCTCAGATAAAAATTATCAATTTTATTTAGCATATAAATTGTGAGTAAATGACGTCATTTACTCAACCCTATTGTTCTTTTAACTTTTAAACCAAAATTTCTCAATAGTAAGTGGCTCCCAGGCTAAAATATTTACTAATCTGATTTTCATAATCATAAGTGAGTCATATTATCCTCAAATACTTCAATTACTCAGACTTTCAAAAATTTGGGCGTTTTCATTCAAGTGCCCCTATCACTGCTGCTCGTCTCTAGCTTATAAAAACATTCTAGGCAGTGTAATGTGATAACAATTACAAGTTTGTGTGTGACGCAATTCACTTTTCTGTTTACAGTTGGCGGTAGAATATGGTATTAAATTCATGGAAACAAGTGCAAAATCAAGTATTAATGTAGAAGAGGTAATGAAAAACTAATTATCAAACCTCCAGCTGTTTGAACCCTCCTTGCATTGCATGGGGTTAAGAAAAAAGGTTCAAAATAATGTATCAATTAGGGTAAAAGTTGCAAAGTCCATTATAGGACATGGTCTCCAGTTTAAGATAAGTTAAAAGCTCAAGATATCTAAGGTTTGACATAACCATAACCCTTATGTACTGTATAGTGTATATTCATTCTTGGTATAATTATAAAAGGACTTATAAAAACTTGTATTTCACAACCATCACTCTCTGTACAGGGCTCTTCTGTGAGGTTTACTCCACACACACTACCACTACATTCAATATTTACAACATACAACACTCTACTCACATGTTGATTTTTATGAGGGAGGAAACCTGAGAACCCGGAGAAAATCCTCAAGGCAAGGAAGAGAACAACACATCAAACAAACTCAACTCACATATGATTCAGTCTAAGCCGGGCCTCAAACCTGGACCACAACAGTGAGAGGCGAATGGTAAACCTGAAGGAAACCTGAGATCCCGGAAACAACCCTTGTGGCAAGGGAGAGAACGACACATCAAAAAAACTCAACTCACATATGATCCAGTCTAAGCTGGGCCCTCAAACCTGGACCACAACAGTGAGAGGCGAATGGTAAACCTGGAGGAAACCTGAGATCCCGGAAACAACCCTTGTGGCAAGGGAGAGAACAACACATCAAACAAACTCAACTCACATATGATCCAGTCTAAGCCAGGGCTCGAGCCTGGACCACAGTAGTGAGAGGCAAATGGTAAAACCACTACCCATGCCACCCAAAAGCCATGGCCGCCAAGTCTAAATATTGCGGAAAAGTAAACCAGTGCACTTTACTATGCAAACGCTTTTTTATGACAATTCAAACACTTTTTTCTTGTGATTCGTTGATTAAAAATTATTCTGTTGCTTAGACATATACTAGAAATTTCAGATGATTCTGCATTAAGATTTTTTCAATCAACTTGAATTAAGATTGTGTTTTGTATTTCGTAGGCATTTTTTACATTAGCTAGAGATATTAAAGTCAAAATGGACAAAAAGTTGGTAAGTATGTATGAATTCATGATCACCAGTTCAGGGCTGTCAACTCTCCTGGATAAACCGGGAGTCTCCAGATTTTGGACTGTGTCTCCTGGTCTCCAGATTAGAGTCTCAAATCTCCCGGATAATCCCCGAAGCTGACCATTTCTTGTGAGACTTGACTTTCACAACCATAAAATTCCAATTATTTTTTGTTGTTTGTGTTATTTTACATCGCTAACAAAATCAAAACGTTCCTCATAAACTGTTCTTGCAAGCAGGCCATTGTAACTATAAGCAATAATCTGATTGGTCAGACATAAACCAATCACATCAAATGTTACAAAGCAAAAGTCGTCTTTTTGCCCTTTTTGACGCGCTCTGACGTCATGTCCCTTACCTATCAATTCCACAGATTTGAATATCTCGGGGGTTGACAGCCCTGCCAGTTTGTTTATATTTATTTAATGTTTGATAAATTCGTTACATGTTTATGAAACCTCATCTTTATCGTATGAATGATGTGTTCATAAAGAGACTTTAGTCAGGTTTTTCCACTTTATTTTCCCCACCAAACTCTACACAAACCATGTGCTTTATCTTCTCTGTCTACTCGCTGAGGAACTCTGTCTCGACCCAGGCCACCACTTGCAGTGCACCACAGGAATCCTACCTTTTTTTACAATTCATAAACAACAACAAAAATGTCTTTTCTTAAGTTCCAACAGTTCGAGAGGTACTGTAGGATGAATAGGTTGGTGAAAGGATGGAGGTATTAGAGAGTTTTAGATTGCTTTTTTTTCCTCCCCACAAATAGCAAACGTGACCACGTTTTCATAGTTTTCCTGTATTTTACTTTACTATTTACAAACCTTCTCACCAGGTGCAAATACTCTTTTGTTTTTCTACTACTTGAAGTTTTTTGCGATTCTTTTTCAGTCATTGAAAAGAATTTTTTACTGGTCAACTGACGTTTCACGTTTGCCGTGAACGTAAATCTAAAACTCTCTATTGACGGTTGAATGGAATGAARACTGAAAACTGGTGCACTAGGGTCGGAGTAATCCTTGGAAACAATACCAAGATCGTTAACAATTTTGTATCTTTTTCTTTCTATCTAGGAGCAATCAAGTCCTCAATCGACGGGAGCCGTCAAAGTCACCCAACATCGAGAGCAAAAACGTAATTTCTTCCGGAGCTGTTCACTACTGTGATGCGTAGGCTTTGAGTACATAACTTAATACTGGTTTTACTAGTACTGGTCTGTATAGATGGCTGGTAAGTATACTGGAGCCGATGTCACCAGTGTCATCGCTTAATTCGAGTTTAGTGGTAGCATCCGAGTACTACACGATATGAGAAAACTCCACTCTTAATGATTCCTGAAAAAAAGTGAAAATGGTATGTTCTTATTAATATGCTGTACTAAAGCTGATATGATTTATTTTAAGATATGATTAGCTAGAAAAGTTTTGTAAAAAAATGTAATGGCTACAAAAAGTAGACTAAGTTAATCTCTGTTTTACCATTTCAGACCATTTGTTTTTCCTTTAAGTAATATTTCTTTTGTTTGAATAACATACCTTAATTGCAATGATAGGAAGTCCCTTATACACCTATTTCGAAAATTGTTGTCGCACCAAGAGCCTCAAGTAGCAAGCAAAGGCTCCAGAGGACGTCAGTACTTTTAATTATAATTGATTTATTCATGGCTCATGCAAGTGGCTATAGCTCTCCACTAACTATCATCTCAAGCAGCCTTGCTTGGAGCAATTTGTGAAGTCAATAAATGAAAATGCACCATGAATAAACTAATTACAGTTAAAAGTATCGGCGTTCTCTGCGGTCTTGKCTTGTTGCTTGAGGCTTTTGGTCTGACAACGATTTCTGAAATAGGTGTATATTCCCAAATAAATTAATGCAGATGAATTTGGAGAATAGTACATGTAATAGTGTACTGTAATACATGTGGTAGTGTAACTGAGTAGAGTTTGTTAGGTCTCTCCCTTGACTTATAGTCTTTTCTCCTGACAGGCTCTTAGATTTTTCTCTCTCCACAAAATTCAACATGATAAACTGTGCCGTGACTTAGATCAAACACCTAGTTGTTGGATCAAGGTGTCAATCACATTTTGTAAGGGGTCGATATAATATGAATGCAAAAGGTAGAATATTGTTTTCAAAAAGATGGCATGTGGTCTGAAATGAAAATAAATAAATAGATAGGTCTATTATATAAAGTCATATGCTAGATTGTCATGTTGGAGAATTCTTCAACCGATACAGCTAAACACCAGATAAAATCATTGCCTTAAATCAGGGCTAAAAATATGTTGACCACCCATCAGTTTTAGCTAAATTTCTCTGGACAAGTTCCAATTCTGGACAGAGATTGTACAATGACGCGCCATTGTTTTTAGCCCTGTGCTTTACTTGCTAGAGTGCAAACCATATGTTCGCGTAATAACGCAAAAACTAAATAGCACTAAACACATCTATTTCTTTCTTTTTTGATTGTTTCATTGGAGCTAATTTTGTACTGATTATAGTTACTACTATTTCACAGATATAAAACACTTTTTGTCATGGGTTTATGAAAACTATTCCATATGGTTTGCCCTCTGTCTCTTTACTCTTTCATTATTTACTTCAATTTGTGTATTTTGTAAAAATAAAAGCCTAATTAGCCATTCCAAGGTCGAGAGAAAAAAATGAGTGAAGTCGGCAGTGTGTATTTCCAAAATGGTGTGTATTTCGTTCTCTATAACAGCCTCATAATGCAATGCTACCTTGACCCAACTTTTTACCCTCAACCTTGAAATGGATAATACGCACTAAAGGATTTTTTAGAGCACTTATCTTGCTGTCTCTTTGCAACCTTGAAACTAACAAGCGTCTAAATAAAAATATTCAATAAAAAACGGTTTTGCCTTCTATAAATTATACCCCTAGCTATTGCAGCATGTCAGAATGCAGATCAGTTTGGAGACGTGCAAAACAAAAGGTTTCCAATTCTAAGGAAATTGAAATTCTTTTGTTTCGTCGTCCAAATTGCAAGGGGTCTATTCTTCAAACAGTTACCATTAAAATGACAATGACAATGAATCTAAATTTATTACCAGTCTTTCTAGAATGGTTTTACTTTTAACAGTAATTATTACACATTAAAATAATAAATGAAAAATGGTAAAAACTACTCAAAACACTGGAAAAAAAGAGCATGCTTGTCCGGAGTTGTTTAGAAATGCAAARAGTGCTCTAAAGAATTCAAAGCAGAACTGAATGATAACTTGAGAATGAAGTCCCCTTCAAAGTCTCTGGCACCATCCTGAAAGGAAGCCAAGCCTTCATATTGAAGCAAGACGAAGAGTGAGCTTGCAATGCATACCTTTCTTGACACCTTGGACAATTATTATTTACATGTCTCTGTCATTTCAAGCTCATCACTATTCGTCTACCTTCATTGCAAAGGCATGGCTACTTTTCAAAACGGTGGAGGGAACTGTGAAAGGGACTATTATGGAATAACCGCCCTACTTAAAATAAAGCTTATTTTTTATGAGCTCAAACTTAAGCTTAATAACGTAAAATTATTAGACAGTACTGTTAATTTGTACAGGCTATATATATGATTGCTGAGCTTCACTTTATTGTTAGGTTTCACTTGACATCATTCCCTGTTTTGTGCGAATATAATTGTTCATCAGCTGAATTGCAAGTTTTCAATAAAATTCTTTCTGGTTGAATTGGCAGCACATGGTGGTCATGCAATATTTGACCACCATTTGATCATGCAGATAATGAGATTCAAATACTCTTTTCAGCTGATGGAAATCCAGCAACACACACCTGGTTCCATAGCCTGCGTGCCTCCGAACGTTTACTCTTAACACACGACAGAAATTTCTGGATGCAGCGCAGGCTACTGGTTCCATAGGTTTTCTTCTTTCTTAATGGGTATATAAATTATTCCAAGTGGCCAGAGAAGCGAGGCCAAGCTGAGCTTTATATAAACCTTGTTCTAAATAATAATGCAACTGATCTGTACTTTTTTGTTTAAGATATTAGTACTTTTAATCAAGTTATTGTCAAGAATAAAAGCCACACAAATAGAGGCTATATTGTGATATGATTGAGGTATAAAATCAGCTCTCCATTACTGTGGCTTTCGATAGTCTGCAAACTCAGATATTTCAATAGCTCATTGTGAAATTAGATTTTACTGCCGCCAGTAAAAAATATAAAAGGTACTGGCTGATCGTTTTGACGAACAGTAGCATGAAGAAACCACGTTTCAGCATGCAGCTTGCAACTGCTGAGTTTGCAGAATATTGAAAACTGCAGTAAGCTCCATTTTGTTTCCTTGCCAAACAGTTTTTTTAATATTTAAGCAAGGTTTAATTTTCACGGGTTTTCTCCCTGTGGAAAGCATTGAGTGTTTTTGTCGTAAATAGTGAAGTTGTAGTAATGTAATAATGAGTGAACTGCCAGTCCCCTGCCAAGGCAGCCTTAGGGAGGGCCATGCCCAACCCCCTGGTTTGGGATTTTTATCTTTACTTTTTTCCCAAAAAAATAAATAATAAATATTAATATAATAATAAATAGAGTGCAAATAATATATCCGTGAAACTTTAGTAATACTACATAGCACAATTTCCTGCAAATTCCATCGTTTTCTATTGTTTAATTAGCACTATTTTGTACTATTTAGTAATTAGTGTTTCAMRGATTAATTGTTTGYACTCTAGCATTTCTGGAAATCATGGATTACTAGACACAACCCTGTTTTTAAGAAGAACGATGGTAGTGATACAAATATGTCTCTCAATTGTTACGATTAGTAACTGCCAGCCCTATCCCCCCCCCTCCCCCATCCCTTTTAGTATTGGGACTTGAAGCCACATTCCATGGCCAAAATTCAGGTCCAACTGTCAAAGGTATGATAGGCTGCGTAGCCAATCCTCCACGAAGAACACCTGGCTACGCAGGCTAAAGGTATGATGACCCAAAATGAAGAAGACAACTGAATTATTATGAGACCTATTGCTATATTTTAGCAGTTCAGAGGCTGAGGGGAAAACTTGGACGAGTTTGCATTACAATGTATTGTGGATACGTTCTATGGGATGAAACAGACACCATCTTGGAAATATGTTCCCTACAACAGCCCCACAATGCACTGCAAATGCCAACTCAACCAATTTTTTCCCTCAACCTTGGACTGTCTATTGCTGCTTGCGCAGATTGAACAAACAAGCTTGGTTAATATAAATTTTTTTGATGGTGGAAAAATAAATTTTGAACATCAATTTAATTGGAAGGTAATGTACGACTAAGGCCCCGTTCACACTATGCCAGATGAATATGAATCCAAATTTTTATTTATTCAGTTAGGCCTACTGTCCACACTAGTCCAGGGGAATCCGGGACAATTCTTCACCAAAAGTGAATTTTCTAAATGGAACCAAATAAATAAAAAATCGGATTCAAATTTATCCCGCATAGTGTGGATGGGGCCTCAGGCAGCATAGACTAAGGCACATACCCCCCCCCCCCCCCCCCCCCCAATTTTTGAGGATATATCTCAAGTAAATTAAAAGTTGCTGTCTTGTTGCCAATTATAGGCGAAATTGCAAAAATGCTAGCTTGTTTTGAAGGTGACTTAGTGTGAGAGGGGTGCCTACAGTTCAAAGGCCACTTTGTCTCACCATGGGATGGGTGGGGCCGGTGAGGCTTGAAGCCATGCCATCTCAGTATAAATTTATCCTTTTTAATAGATCAAACTTATTATTACCTAAGAATCATTCTAGCAATAATAACGAAACTCAAAAAAAGAATCCCTTTGCTATAGAGTTGAGTATATGATCTTTCCGACCAGTCCCGACCAATCTAATCCGACCGCACGTGGTTGAGCCCCTATCACGTGATACGAATGTTATTATCAGGTATCATGGCGGCTCAGTGTAAAGTTGTCTGTATGAGCGCTTCGTTAAACGCGCTTTACTCTTCTAGACGGTAAGTTAAAACCCTCCTTAACCCACCAGAACTCAGATTAATAATCATTCTTTACTAATTTGTCAATATTTTAAAAGAATTCAGCGTTTAAGACTCAAACTGGGCGCATTTCTTGACGCAGGGCATTGAAAAAAAATTTCTTCTCCGATGAAGTGTTCGCTAAAAATAGTTATTTATTGAAAAAAGTTTATGGTTAGTTTTTACCCATAGAACTAAAAAACAATGCTAATGTGTTTTTTTAGGATTTAGAGTAGTTGGTACTCGATAAAGAGTGTTTTTCTGAGTTATTTTTTGTCGCCATTTTGGTTTTAAAGTAACTGCGTTTTGAGAAAACATGGTCGACGAAACGAGAAAATCTTTCACAATTGATTCAAATTGTCGCCGAAAAATTCATTATTTCTATCGTTTTTTCTGCCCTTTTTCAATCCCTTGTCAAGTATTTATCCAAAAGGTTATTAAAATGAGAATTTTTTGCGTGAAACAGAAAGAAAAAATACTCTTATATGCTATTTTAAACCTCATTGGAAGGACAACGTTGTCAAAATAATTATAACCTATTGTGGACTGTTCTTCTTCGTATTCGCGAATATTTGTTCAATTATTTTCGTTATCTTTTTATTACTGCTTTAGTTCCATTTAATATGTATTCTTAATCATCAAATTAATTATTTTTCGCTAAAAAATCAAACATTTCTGTTTTTAATTATTTTTACATTTCTCAAGAGGTCATGCTAGATAGTTTGATATAAACAGCCTTTGGTTAAATTAACAGATCTAAACAACCCCTTTATGAGGTAGGGTATATTGATTTAAACTACCCCATWATCACCATCATCATCTTCATCATCACTGTTATCACTAGAATTATCATCGTCATCACTTAACAAATAGACATCAGTTTTTTGTGTCTGTCCTATTATTGACTATAAATTGCGTCATCATATTGTCAAAGTACACCTCATGGATCCGCATACTATTTTGACAATTTGATGGCAAAATTTATCGTCAATAAGAGGACAGACACAAAAAACTGATGTCTATTTGTTTTTTACAATAACAAAAACGATAAAAACTTCTCATTTTTAGCGTTCAAAATAACCAACGGAAAGAGTGCGTGCTCGTTGACGTCAGCTTTATCTGTCTGTCCTCTTATTGATGATAAAAAAATAACCAATCAGCGTGCGAGAAATTTGTAAGTTATTGTAAAAAGCAACATTTAACTTTTTTTAAATAACCAAGCTCTTTCATATGCTCTGATTGGTCAAAACATTATTCTACATGAGAGTATCTGAGATGCTAAACATTCTTTTTTCTGCACATGCTCTCTGAATTTGAACTTTCGGTTAAACATAACAGCCGATCAACGGAYATTGTCCGGGCAGGAATGAAACTTGTACGGTCAAATCTTTGCCTTGCTTGCCATTTTGACCGGTCACAGTTTAAAACATAACTCATTTCATCATAATATCGTATTGAATCCAATATGGTGGTGAACCAAATTGAGATTACGATCGTCCTCCATACRTACCCTTCAAATACAAAACAGTTACATTTGAAATCTCTAAAAACAAGCCAAAAAATATATACTATTAACCATTCTCACCATAGCTCTGTAAGAAAAAAATAAAACAAAGATATTTGTTAGTTTGTTGTTGAAAAATAAAATATATACACTAGGCATATCCTTTTATTTTTTAATTTATTTATTTTATTGTTAAATTATTATTATTATTTTAATATTATTATTATTATTTTATTGTGTTTTCTCGGCATCCCATGTGCTTAAATCAGATAATCTAGAATGGAAAACTTTTATRATTTTCAATTATAATCTTTACCATCATGAGCAAGCCGGTTCAAATAGGAAATTATAAAATAACTGTTATGAATGTCACGTTCTGATTGGTTTTGAGCGTGTGCTTTATGAGAGCACATTGGATGCACTACACTTTCTGTTGTGTCATTCCTATCTATTATTGTAATTTGTATTTTATAAAAGAAATAAAAAACTTGCTTGCTGTGCTGTTTGCTGTCATAAAGCACTTGGGGATAGGCAGAACACTCAAGAAGTGTCCAGAAGCACACTGCTATGCACCGTGCTTCTCCTAACACTTCTCTTGTGTTCTGCCAACCCCCGCGTGCTTTATGACAGCACACAGCACGCGCGCATGTTTTCTATTTCTTCAATATGTGCCAAGGTCTTGAATACACTCAATTGAAGAATCGTTGTCGGGTTCAGAAACATAGAACATAAGAGCTGAGACCGAAATGACACGTGGGAAATGACATAATTGTATTATAATTTATTCTTTTGTGCCATCTATGCAGTCGGTTTAGAATGCCAAACGCATATTAAAAACAGTGGATGATGTGACGGGTCGTCGGTCACAGCATGCGTCTAATTAACGTACTTCCCATGTGCCATTTCGGTCTCAGCTTCTATGTTCTATGTTTCTGAACCCAACAACGTTTCTTCAATTGAGTGTATATGGACCAAGGCCTTAATGAACAAGTTGTGTTTTTCAACTTTGGGAGGATAAAAAAACTTTTTTCCCCATTTACTTTTCTATTTGTTTTTGCAATCTTTTTTGTTGTTTAACAATTCGTTTTCCCATTCGCATACTTGGATGATATAAGCCTTACCTCTGAATACTTGTCTGCAGGTAGAGATAGAAAATCTTTCCTGCTCACGAAACCAATCAGAACACACAATTTTTGAGAATACTGGACTAGGAAAAAATGCTATGTCAATTTACATCACATTATTGATATCATACTCACCCAGGTTCAATTATTATCATTGTTGTTTTGTTATTTATTTTATTGAGTGAGTTATTCTTGTGTTTCATCAACAGGAAGTCATTCAARCATGAAAAGACAAGATGAGAGAGCCTGAATTATTTCAATTCCCAATATATTCACCATTTAAAATYGTTATCCTGTTGGCGTAAAATTGCAAGATATAAACCCAGTGCACTTGGAACATTAGTATTTGTAAGTGAGCTCATTTATGACACGATATTACCTGCACACTAATGGGTTAATCACACCGATGTGTTTGAGTAGTGTGTGCTATGTAATTAAGATTTATTACTGGGTTCGTGCTACATCTTAAATTCCTTGAACTCAAAGGGCACTTGAAAAGCTCTTGAATTTTACGATTTTAGCAAAACTCCTTGAATTTTTGCTTTGATCATTACTTGCATTGTTCTGAAATAGATCGAGTCAGAAAGATTAGAAAATCTGAAAGTCGGCCATGTGCAACCACCATGTAAAACCTTGGCATATTTAGCTGAACATACTCCTTGAAAATTCATTTTTGGTTCCTTGTATACTCCTTGAATAGTCCTTGAATTTTAAGTGTTTACCTCAGCACGAATCCTGATATTAAGAAAATATTTTAACAAAGGTTTTTATGGTTTTGCATGTCTACACCTTGAGAAAATGGTCTATAAGAGAAGTTTGTTTTTTTCTGCCTAGAAAACAGTTGCATCATAACATCCTGCAAAGCCGGGCCTATTTTTCATCTTACTTCATTCAACTCATGCATATTGTATTTCTTTTCTTTTCTTTTCTAGGTTATTTGGAAACTTTTGGAGCTATTTGGAAAACATGTAAAATGAATTAATTGCAGCTGAAGACTGCTTACTAGGTGTTGAAATTGGATCCAAATCCCAAGCGTTTCATATTATTACAAAATATATATTATAAAAACTATAGCGAATCTAGGGAAAGCGTTTTATATATTTTCATTTGCGGAGTATTAAATATTACAGTGTATAAAGTATTGTAGTCACCATGGCAACCGATGCTAGTTGGAAGGTGAGTGGTTACCATGACGTTGTTTAAATGACAAGATGTTCCTAATGTTGTCCTCATCCAGTATATAATATTAAATTGTCAAATAGAAAAGCTATTCCTAAACCAAAATTCAATTTTATTAGACAGAACCCCCTAAAACAAACTCTGGGATGATCAAAGTCAGGGCACAGTTAACTCACAGATCAAAATCTAAAAAAACTCTGGGGTGATCTGCTTGTAAGTCAGGGCATGGCTAACTCACGGATTGAAACCCTGAAACAAACTCTAGGCTGATCAAAGTCAGGGCACGGTTAACTCACAGATAGAACCCTGAAACAACCTCTGGTCTGATCTAAGCCAGGGCATGGCTAACTCACAGATTGAACCCTGAAACAACCTTTGGGCTGACCAAAGTCAGGGCAAGGCTAACTCACAGATAGAACCCTGAAACAACCTCTGGGCTGATCAAAGTCAGGGCACGGTTAACTCACAGATWGAACCCTGAAACAACCTCTGGTCTGATCTAAGTCAGGGCATGGCTTACTCACAGTTAGAAACCTGAAATAACCTTTGKGCTGATCTAAGTCAGGGCATGGCTAACTCACAGATAGAACCCTATAACAACCTTTGGGCTGATCTAAGTCAGGGCATGGCTAACTCACAGTTAGAAACCTGAAATAACCTTTGGGCTGATCTAAGTCAGGGCATGGGTAACTCGCAGATATAATTGCAATTTAGGATTTAGCCATTTAGGGAGGAAAAGAGGAAAAACTTTGAATCAAGATTAAGACCWAACGAACTCTTCTCACGAGATGCTGAGTCTGGAAATCAAACCCGAGACCCAAGATATGTGTGTGTGTGTATATATATATATTTATGCATACATGTATATAAATTTGTAATTCCTAAGTTCACCACCGCAAGTACAGCAGTGTTGCAGCTTAACGGGGTTGAACTGAAAGCATGTGAAGGTGCCTCTCACAGTCCCTATACAGGGGCGGATCAAGGTATTTCAGAAAGGGGGGGCCGTTCAGTCCTGTATCCATCGACTGCCGGAAGCTGGAGCAACTAGGGGGGTCTGGGGAAAATTTTGAAATTGAGATCCTGAGAAATGCGTTTTCCAGCATTTTGAGAGATTTTTACTAGGATTTTTTTCTATACTTTCTTTTTGCTCTCCGCTTTTTGTCCCTTTTTTATTCAGCAAAAGGGGGGCCGCGGCCCCTTCGGCCATCCCCTAAATCTGCCCCTGCTATACAGTCCATGTCAATAGGACGTTTGCGCGATGGCATCATTGACCTCTACTACCAGACTCCCTTGCACACTTTCTTTTGTTCAGTTAATTAGCACCAATTGTCTTACTATTCTCATGAGGGAATATAAATTTAAATAAGAAAGAAATTTCGCGAAGCATCTTGGTAGTGGGAGTCAAATGATGACATCGTGCAAACGTCCTATTGTTCTTGCCCCCTGTCATGGATGCAATTACGTGACTTTGCAAAGCCTCTATAGGATATGTTTATAATGGATCTTTTTTTACTATTGTAGAGTTACAATAATGGCTATAATGAAAGAAGGGATCGTAGCAAATCCTATGAGGATTATGGCAGCTATCGCAGTTATTCATYGCCGAGATCAAAAGACAGAAGTCCATCCCAAGGACAGTTCCACAGGTCCTTTAGGTATAGCACACTGATAGTTAAATAGTCCCCTTCACAGTTCCCTGTGTCATCTTGAAAGGTAGCCGTGCCTTTGCATCGAAGCGAGACTAATGGTGAGCTTGCAAAGATAGAGACGCGAATAATTGTTCATGGTGTTAAAAAAGGTCTCTATCATTACAAGCTCACTGTTCGTCTTGCTTCAATGCAAAGGCACGGCTACCTTTCAAGATGGTGCAGGGAACTGTGAAGGAATCTATTGATATATATACTTATTACCTGTCATTCTTTAGGAATATTTTAGTGCCTAAAACTAAATTCTTCTTTACTCTTAACTATTACAACAAGTTAAGAGTTATATTTGCACTTTTTGTCTCTTATTTATGATGAAAATGTTCATTCTTGGACAATAGTCCCCTTCACAGTTCACTGCGCCATCTTGAAAGGTAACTGTGCCTTTGCATTGAAGCAAGACAAACGGTGAGCTTGCAACAATAATTGTCCAAGGTGTTAAAAAAGGTCTCTATCATTGCAAGCTCACCGTTTGTCTTGCAGTTACCTTTCAAGATGGCACAGGGAACTGTGAAGGGGACTATTAGTTGGATTTCAAAGTAAAAGTGACTAGGGTTGTACAGTTAATTCATGAATCAATGACATCATGGCTGTTTTAAATATATATGTTACAGATGCTTTTGAATTTTATTGATTGGCATGAATTTAYGTTCAAGAGGACGTGAATGATCGTAAAACACTACACCATGAGAAATATTTGTTGCAAGACATAAATTTATGTCAAAATGAAAAAGTGCAAATATAACTTAAAAAATAAATCACTTTTATTTAATAGTCTAGTCGTTCTAGCGCTTTCACACTAATTGGGGACACTTTTTGYTCACACACACTACCACTTCATTCAATATTCTATACACACAACGATCAACTCACAAGTTGATCTTCACAGAGGGAGGAAACCGGAGAACCTGGAGAAAACCCTCGTAGCATAGGAGAGAACAATACATCAAACAAATTCAATACACATGTGACGACCGCAGGGCTTGAACCAGCRACCCGACCCGTTGGACTCACAGCAGTGAAAGACAATGCGTTAGCCGCGAACGCCACACATGTTACCCATACTTGACTGGTTTTTCTTGATTTTGATGGCAGTGAAAGGCAAGAAAGGGACATAGGGTTTGGTGACAGAGAGACTGGATTTGTGGAAAAGCTTTTGGTAAGTAGTACATATAATATTCATCTCACTAAGTGAGCTCTGATTGGTCAAGGACTGTGGTGTATTAGTGAATAGAGCACAGCTGTGATAATGCCTGATCCACGATGATTTCAAGGGGGTGCCTGTTAGAGGTTTTGCACCATCATTTGATGGCAGGCATGTAAGATGGCAGGAACAATAAAATGATTTTACATGAGAAAGAATTCAATTCCTGGGAGCAAAGGGATTTTATTATTCTGCCATCTAACCACAGGTAGCCCAAGCTATATTATGGGCGACAGCACGTGATGGTGCAAAACCTCTGTTCCAAGATTGAACTTATCTTCTATTGTGTTTGTATTTGATGTAGCACTCATATGGATTCATCCAGTGCTGTGAGAGGGACATGAGGATATTCTTCCATTACAGTCAGTTCAGAAGAGACATAGATGAACTCAATGTTGGAGATGAAGTGGAGTTTGATGTGTCATGTGACCCACGGTCCAAGAAGCCAGTTGCTGTTAACATTAGGCAGCTCCCCCCTGGATCAGCATCATTTGAGGTAACTTTTATAGTATAATAACGATGATGATGATGATACATGATGATGATGGTAATGATGAACTTGTAATAATGGTGGTAGCGATAATGGCTTATGATGACAGTGATACATGATGATGATGATGATGATGATTACATGGTGATGATGATGATGATGATACATGATACATGATGAAACATGATGATGATACATGATGATGATATGTGATGATATGTGATGATGATACATGATGATGATACATGATGATGATACATGATGATGATGATGATGATGATACATGATGATATATATGATGTTTGTGGTGTTGGTAATAGTGATAATGATGGTGATGATACGTGATGATGGTTGTGATCATGATCATGGTGATGACGTTATCAATACACTAGCAATGACATCACCATAGGTCAAGAACTGTGAGAAGCACTTGCCTATGGCTTGTGCTTCTCCTTATACTTCTTTCGTGCTTACGTCACTTCCTGCATCCTTTATTACAGAACAGGGCACGGAAAAACCTGTTTTATTTTATTAAATTTTTCGTAGTGTAATCAGAAGAGATAACTACTAAAAGCTAGTGTGTAAACCTTTTTTAGCCGACGAAGGACTAGCATCCGAAACGTCATTTTTTACCTTTTTATCAGTAGYGTAATCATTGAATTACAGGTTACTTTTAAACCCGTCTGTGTTTCTGTATCATTAGATAGTTGGAGAGGACAAGGTAACTGGTATCATAGATGCTGAACCAAAAACCCAGCTGAGATCTGGAAGATCAGTAAGTCATCAACCATTTGTAATTTATTATTCCCATGAGGGGTGGGGTGGGGATAGAACCACAGGCTTCCCATAGTGTGTTTCCTGGATTGAAATGAAAATAAATACATAGCAAATACAAAAAAGATCTGGAAAATCAGTCATTGATGTCTACCAACAAAACCATTGTCTGGGAATAGGCCATTTGTAATCATTTCCATGGGGGGTGGGGTGGGGATAGAACCACAGGCTTCCCATAGTGTGTTTCCTGGATTGAAATGAAAATGAATACATTGCAAATACCAAAAAGATCTGAAAAATCAGTCATTGATGTCTACTACCAAACCATTATCTGTGAGTAGGCCATTTGTAATCATTCCCATGAGGGGTGGGGTTAGAACCACAGGGATCCCATACTATGTTTTATAGAGTGAAATAAACCACTTTCGAGTTCCAAATTGCTGCTATGTTCATTAATTACATCCTTTAATCAGGCTTAGCCTCATATGAATGTCTACATATTCACAATTATACTAATGGTAAAGTAAAGAATATACAACGTCATCAATAAAACCTTCTTCACTGAAACACATGAATATTCTGCTCAATATCGAGGCTAACATTGAGCAGCCAAAGAACTCAAAACTGGAGTATTATTTTGGAACTGAGGGTGGCGTAGCAACAGGGCTTTCGCACCTCTRGAGTCTTGAGTTTTATTTCTGGACTAAATACTGTGTGGTTTGTAATGATTTTCTTCGTTCTGCAGCCCTGCAATGGTTACACGGAGCCAGAGGGAGGCCGTATCTGTTATGAAAGGAAAGGGGTGAGAATACCTCGTTTGGCAGTAATAAATAATATTAATAATAATAATAATAAATAATGATAATAAAATAATAATAAAATAATAGTAATAATAATAATATAAGTATATGTAATAGGACTCCATGCTGTCCAATTAAGAAATAATTGGACGAGGAAAATTGCAAAGACTTCCAAAAYTGGATGAGGCCGTAGGCCGAGTCCAATTTGGCAGTCAGAGGAATTTTTCGAGTCTAATTATTTATTTAGAGAGAGTGACATGTGACAGCTGCCAACTTAGCACTGATAAACCATTGGCCCTCTATGTTTAACGTCTCTAAGTGAGACGGGTTGCCATTTTATATGGTCACCAGAGCCATGGTGAAGGTCTAACCATTTGCATTTTAAGGCTAAGGCAACACCTCCTACTCAGATATTTTAAGGCCCTGAGTGTTGATCTGGCTTCAAAACCTCCCATGCAACAGAATGGTGCCTAACCAACTGAGACAACTGGGGAGCCAACTGAGACTCAAATTGTAGAGTCCCTCAGATACCAATATGCTTCATAAWTTTTTATTCAATTTGTTTATTAATTATATCTTATTATTTCCAGGAAATTTTCTACTTGAACTTTTCCCTTAGTGATTGTGTTAATGCAGCAATACCCCTTCATGTGGGAGATAAAGTCCAGTTTGTGGTTGCAACTGACAAGAGGTAACTAAAAAATGTTATTGAACCCTGAAACA